AGTTTAGAGACCCAAAGTTTATAAGTCAAAAGTTTATATATCCGATTCAAATTTGAATTTGAATACAAATATTTTGTATATATAGTATTTCTATACATCTAAAGTTTATACACCTAAAGTTTATAGACCTAAAGTTTATAAGTCAAAAGTTTATATATCCGATTCAAATTTAAATTTGAACTCAAATATTTTTTATATATAGTATTTCTATACATCTAAAGTTTATAGACCTAAAGTTTATAGACCCATTTCAAATTTGAATTTGAATTCAAATAATAGTTTATAGACCTAAAGTTTATAAGTAAAAAGTTTACATACCCGTTTCAAATTTGAATTTAAATTCAAATATTAGTTTATAGACCCAAAGTTTATAGGTCAAAAGTTTACATACCCGTTTCAAATTTGAATTTGCCGTTTCAAATTTGAATTTGAATTCAAATATTAGTCTATAGACCCAAATTTTATAAGTAAAAAGTTTACATACCCGTTTCAAATTTGAATTTTAATTCAAATTTTTATGGTGTAGTAGTAAGAGAAGAAGGGGAGGTAAAGTAGTAAGGGGAGGGGCGGGTGATCGCTGGGGAGGGGAGAGAGCGATCACCCGCCCATTAGGATTACCCGGTTTCATATTATATATTGAGACCTGAATGTGGGTTAAAGCAAGTCAATCCAAAGTTCATCCAAGATTAAACAGAAGAAAGCGTATAAAAGAGAGCATTCTAGAATAGGTAAATTTATCTAGCTAGTACGCAAGTTTTGAAACTATATATACTCAGCAATCAGACTGGCGACATTCTGTGAGGTTGAAAAATCCACAGAGCACGGATAATTTTTAGGTGGGTTCCCCATCAGGAATAAATCATCAGAATAATTTCAGAAGAAAACAAAGGCATATATTCTGCACCAACTTTTGCTTTGTTTTTGCTTTGTTTTTTTAAATCGAACTTTTGCTTTGTTTGCCACTCCAAAACAGTAGCTAGCTACTTCGCACGTGCTAAGTCAGGATGATTTTAAACGAGTGGATCACGTCCTTTCCAACAAAGTTGGTACGACAAAGTGGTGTACTGATAACAGAATCTCTCTTCTTTTCTTATTTTTATTTTTCATTCAAGCAATGTCCATGTTCTATCGGCAATAATTGAATAGAGTACACCAGATCTTTCCATCTGTGACGGCTCATCTGTGACGGGCCAGAGTGCCTCGTCACATAAGGCCTCACTTGTGATGGCTTTAACTAGAGGCCGTAATAGACGAGACCATAGGCCGAGGCCCGTCACAGGTAATTTGTCACCTATGACGGGCTGTCATTTGCACTCGACAGAGATCGTCGATCTCTGTCGAGTGCAAATGACAGCCCGTCACATGTGACAACTTACCTCTAACGGGTGCAAGAATATAGGCCGTCAATGGTAAATTGAAAATCATCTTTTATGTTTTACTTTCACCCCGTCAAAGGAGTAGAGGACACCTGCCAGATTTTTTTGCCCCCCTCTCTCTCAATCTCTCTTTCCCACTCAAACCATCCCGTCTCTTGACCTCCCCTCTCTCCCCTCCCTCTCACCGGCGGGTGCGCGTTGGTGGAGGCGGAGGTGACGCCAGTGAGTCAGCGGGGATGGAGGCAACGCCAACGGGTGAGCGGGAGTTGGGGCTGAGGCTACAGCACTAGGGAGGGGGAGAGGGAGATAGGGAGGTAGGCGGAGGCTATGGCGTGGGGGTGGAGGCGGCGGCAGCGCAGATCTGAGATGGGCAGGCGGTGGCTCGGGTGAAAGAGGCTGGAGATGGGAAGGCAGGCGGGAGGCGACGACGTGCGGCTGGAGGTGGCGGCGGAGCATATCTGAGACGGGGAACGACGGCTCGGCTCAAGGCAAAGGGGGATGAAGATGGGAAGGCAGGCGGAGGCGGGGACGGCGATAACACGGATCTAAGACGGGGAGGCGGCGGGCAGAGGGGGCCGAAGATGGGGAGGCAGGCAGAGGCAACGGCGTGGAGGTGGAGGCAGCAACCACGGCAACGCAGGTCTGAGATGGGGAGCCGGCGGCTCGGCTCGGGCAGAGGGGGCCGGAAATGGGGAGGCATCCGGGGGTGTGGGCGTGGATGCGGTGGCTCAGGGCGGAGGCAGAGATGGGGAGGCAGGCGAATGGGAGACATGGGGGTCCGGTCGCCGCTGCCTCCATCCACATGCACCGACTGCCGTCTTTTCGTCTCCTTCACCATCGAGCTCGGGTCGCCGCCACCTCCATCCACATGTGTCGCCCATTGTTTTGTTGTCTCCTCCGCGCCCAAGCTCCAATCTGCGTTGTCTCAGGGACAAGCACAACGAACATGATGGCAGGTGGAGGCGTTCAGATCCATTGCCTGCCAGTCCTCTTTCACCCAAATACTTTGTCTTGTGTTGTTCATGTTGTTCACATTCTTGCTACTATGATCGATGATTCCAATTCATGTGGTGATTCTGGTGATTGACATTCATGTGGTTTTGTTGGGATGAATGCCATGGGAACAAGAGGAATTTTGATGATTTATTTTATTTGTGAATGCCAGATGCGATCTATGACCGTCCAAATGAATGTGATGGTAACCTAGGAGGACGGTATTACTTTTTTTTCCCATTTTTCACACCAGTGATGGATCGTAATTACGGTCAGTGACATGTTAAAATATATACCCATCAGAGGTGACTCTCATCTATGATAGGTTTTTGTTGGGACCAGTCAGAGGTGACCCTCATCTGTGATGGGTTTTAGTTGGGGACCATTAGAGGTGACTCTTACCTCTGACGGGCCTTTACCCGTCACAGGTGACTCAACGTCATCAGTGACCACTTATCTTTGACCAAGGTTGAACCCGTCAGAGGTGAGGGTTTAGGGCTGTCAGAAATGACCTGATCCTGCATAGTGGTACGAAGTCCAAAAGTGGATGGATGTGGAGTCAAAGGTTTAGACAGGTTCAGATCCTTTTAATGAGAAGTAATACCCTACTCCTGTTGAGGGATTGAATCCGTCGGGTGTTGTATTGATCTGACGATCTTGTTGTGGTGACTTATGTTGTATGTTGTCCTTCGAGGGTGTTACTGGCTCTCCTTATATAGGTTAGGGGCAGAGGTTACAAGTATGAAACCCAGTCGGATTCGGCCTAAGTTCCCTTTAGTATTACAAGAGATAAACCCAATCGAAGTGTACGGTCCTGCCTTAACCGGCAAGGAAACCCTAGCAACCAAGTTATGTACAAATATAGCACACCTTCTATTAGCAGTTGGATACATATATAGATAATGTGGGTATCATGTATCCATAATCTTCACAGGCATCCTTCCATATAGTGGTTTTTTTTTTAAGAAGACCTTTCATAGTGCTTGACTGACTCATTGCCTGCAATTAAAAGCAGGTTCGCAGGTTACATCAACCTTTGTAGTATTCTATTATACCAGTTTTATCAAGGGTATCCGCATCTTGCTACTTTCCTTGTTAGCATCCACTAGCTGCTACTCCCTCCGTCCCATAATACAATGGATTTTGAGTTTTTGCTTTGTAACGTTTGACCACTCGTCTTATTCAATTTTTTTTTGCAAATATAAAAAACAAAAATTTGTGCTTAAAGTACTGTAGATAATAAAGTAAGTCACAAATAAAATAAATAATAATTTCAAAAAAAAATTGAATAAGACGAGTGGTCAAAAAATCCCTTATATTATGGGACGGAGGGAGTATATATTATCGTCACATTACAGGCCAATGGATGATCGTCTTTGCTAAAGCGATGAAAGAATGATTGCTAACTTGTCAGCACATAGCTAGCAGGTTGCGAAATACCACTTTTGAATTTTCACTTCTTTCAGCAATTTTTTTGTGTTTTATCTTTTTTTTGAGAATTTAAATTTCAAATTAGAATTTTGAAAGAATAGAAAGAAAATTCATAAATTTGGCTGAGTTTTGGTAGCCAGTGCTACAGTTTTTTTAAAAAAGAGAAATTTTTTCTTGACTTTATGTTATACCCATACCGCGTGGATAAGGCTGGTGGGAGATATTGTAACAATTTCGAAAGGTTTATAAAACACGGGACAAGAAATAGGAATGAGTAACCACTTATCTCACATGCTATGTAGAAATCATAGGCAGCATACAGCCTGCATGGAATCAATATGGCCAAAACACTAAGTACAGGAAATATTAAAAAGTCGCCAGGCCCACCTGTCAAAGCTAACCCGTCCCCCCTCCCCTCTCCCATGGCGCACAAACCCCCATCTCCTTTAGAGAACTCACAATAATACATTTTTGTGTAGGCTTGGATCCCACCATAGGGGAAGGGGTATCTCGTGTAGCTTTGGATTCGGAGGACATTTTGCAAGTCGCCAATTCCGCATGAAGAGAGGGTGTGGTCCATACAGAGAAAGAGATAGTGGCACCTCAAGTGTCGGGGATGGAAAATGTTGATGCCGTTATTGTAAGGAAGACATTGTTCCCGAGACGTAACTCTAATGCTATTGAGACATCGTAGCAAAGAAGACTACCTCTATAACAGCTACAAAATGGTCAAACTGTGAATTTGTGCCTGAATTCAATGTGGTAGTTAGCACCTTGATCCTGGTTACCACTACCTCTCGAGTAGATGGCATCTACTCGAGAGGTAGTGGCAGCCAAGAATTAACAACATAGGCCGGTGATGACGAGGGAGACAGCACCATCGGTGACCATGGGAACAAGGGAGAGGGCATTAATGGAAGTGTTGCTAACCCAAAGCTACTACTATGAAGATAAGTACTGTAGGATTAGTACTCTCAACTCAGTGGCATGCTTTTATCCAAAAGGCTACAATCAAGAGTTGCTTCCAGGGCAAATGCCCTTAGTTATGCTTTCTTTTTTAATCCCCAATGGGCTCTCCTCTGTAGAATTTTCTTCCAACTTTATCCTCTTTGGAGTTTGGCCTAACCTAACATCTAATTATATAGTTACCATCGTACAACGTTACTCTCAAGCGAGAACCAAGTCGTCATAGTTCCAAAGTAGGAAAAGTTATTCCATTAATTAGCTACTCGGTCCATGCAAAGATCGTAAGCATATTTATTTTATCATCGAGACCAAGAAAAAAAATTAACTCATTCGATTTGTACTCCCATGTAACAAACTTTTTCATATGCATGCAAAAGGGTTGGAGAATGCATGGCAGCTCAAGTTTCGGTCAACAATTTAATCATACACAGTAAAACGAAAAGAGACTCTCTTCATTTAAGGCTCGGATGCATGGAGACTATATGAATAAGCTCATCTCATTTGGAAAAAAATAATCAAAACAATGAAATATGCTTAATACATTTGGATTTGGATGGAGTATCTCCCTATGACGAAAGAGACGAGGGATTGCCTACTTCTTTCCACATCAACCTTTGAAGGCTATGGCAGAGCTACATTTGCAGCGCAGCCTCTCTGCATGATTTCTTACTAGATAGGATTAAGTTTCAAGAGTTAATTTCTTGTACTCTTGGGCGATCCATGCTGTCAAATCAGCAACTAACGAGGCATAATCTCGATCACTAGCTCTGATCTGATCTTCAGCTAGCGCCGGCGAGCTGCAGAGGTCTCCATCCATGGCGCCGGCGGTCAGTGCATCGCAGGGTGTCATCATGCGGTCCCTGACGAGCAAGCTCGACTCGCTGCTGCTGCAGCCGCCGGAGCCGCCGCCGCCTGCGCAACCGTCGTCGCTGCGGAAGGGGGAGAGGAAGAAGATCCTCCTCCTCAGAGGCGATCTCCGACACCTGCTAGATGACTACTACCTCCTCGTGGAGCCGCCGTCAGACACCGCGCCACCGCCAGACTCGACGGCGGCGTGCTGGGCTAAGGAGGTTCGCGAGCTCTCCTACGACGTCGACGACTTCCTCGACGAGCTAACGACCCAGCTCCTCCACCACCGCGGCGGCGGCGATGGCAGTAGCACTGCTGGTGCCAAGAAGATGATCAGCAGCATGATCGCCCGGCTTCGAGGGGAGCTTAACCGGCGGCGGTGGATCGCCGACGAGGTCACCCTGTTCAGCGCCCGCGTGAAGGAGGCCATTCGCCGCCAGGAGAGCTACCATCTTGGCAGGCGCACCTCGAGCTCGAGGCCGAGAGAAGAAGTCGACGACGACGATCGCGAGGACTCCGCCGGCAACGAACGCCGCCGGTTTCTGTCGCTGACGTTCGGGATGGACGACGCTGCTGTGCACGGCCAGCTCGTTGGTAGGGATATTTCGATGCAAAAGCTCGTCCGGTGGCTGGCCGACGGCGAGCCGAAGCTCAAGGTGGCTTCCATTGTTGGATCCGGAGGTGTTGGCAAGACGACGCTGGCCACAGAATTCTATCGTCTGCATGGCCGGCGGTTGGATGCGCCGTTCGACTGCCGGGCTTTCGTGCGGACGCCCCGGAAGCCTGACATGACGAAGATCCTCACCGACATGCTGTCACAGCTGCGGCCACAACATCAGCATCAGTCTTCGGATGTTTGGGAGGTTGATCGACTCCTTGAAACTATCCGGACGCATTTGCAAGATAAAAGGTAATTCATGTCTACATCTATCTCTAGTATTTTTTTCATGAATTTACAAACTATTTTCTCAAATTTCCCCTTTTTTATCCTTCATATAGTAATTAAGTTAGTAACTATACATATGAATTTAATTTACTCGACAATGCCAATAATATTTTAAATTACTTTTATAGTGCCCTCTATTAGTAGATACGATTCGATCGAGCCATGAATTATACTGGTAATCTAAACAATTATTATACCCACCTCATTCTACTAACAGCAATTGAGTTGTTAATATAAATAGATATGGTCTATTGCATGAAAAAATAAAGGTAAAGTGTTTACATTATTTCTACTACTAGTAGAAGAACTACAAAGTTGTTTGTATTTTTAATTATTAAATGTAAATGAAAGTATATGTTTCATACCCTTGTTATTTTTTTTAGGCGACTAAACTACTAGTACATTATTTCTACTACTAGTAGAACAACTACAAAGTTGTTTGTATTTTTAATTACTAAATGTAAATGAAAGTACATGCTTCATACCCTTGTTATAATTTTTTAGACTAAACTACCACAATGGCATGTTAACTTATAGCAGTAAGTTGTAATTTATTTTCTTTTCATTTTCTCAGTTGTTACAAGAACTTTTTTTTACTTAATAAAAAATAGTCGTAAGGGCCTCCCTTGTTCGGTCAAAAAAGAATTAGACTAAACTCAATCGTATTTGTACATAAACAAAATTTAAAATATAACTAAAACGAAACAGTGATAAAAATGGTGCAATTTAACTGCTGCCTCTTGTTTTAATGTCTGACAATGTTGATTTTGTATATATGTTTGGCCATTTATTTTATTCAAATTTTTTACAAATATGAAAAATATAATATATGCTTAAATTACTTTTAATGATAAAATAAATTTAAAAAAATGATAATTATATTTTTAATAAGATGGATGATCTAACATATATATGTCCAAAAGTTTGACATCAAACATTAAAAACAAGAGAGAGTATTTGCTTAGGAGTACGTGTCTTTTTCCATGTCTAAGAACAGGTACAATAGCAGGTTATAAGCTAGCTATAAACATATTTTAAAGAGATATAGGAAGAGAGAGAAGAGCAGCAGCCTACAGATCTGTAGCCAGCTGCAGCACGGACTCTAAGACGTAATGTGTGTATGACAGGTAGGACCAAGTATTAATAGTATAGTAAGCAACTATTGTATGAATTGGCTATTTGGCTCTAGATGATTTGGAGCTAGTAGTCGGCTATACTATTAAACTTGCTCTTAGATATGTGGTTAAATTTAATTTCTGAAATTTACAAGATATAGAACATGTCTTCACCATGTTTGCAAAGTTGATAAAATGAAATTGCACTCAACTTTTTAAATTCAGCATGCTATCCCACGTATAGCTTTTTAAATATGATTTATTTTTTCGTACATTAGAAGTTTAATGTTTACGAAGTACTAAATGTTCTGCAGGTACTTCATCATAATTGAAGATTTATGGGCTTCATCAATGTGGGATATTGTTAGCCGTGGTTTGCCTGATAATAATAGTTGCAGTAGAATACTAATAACAACAGAAATTGAACCTGTAGCTTTGGCATGCTGTGGATATAACTCAGAGCACATTATTAAGATTGATCCACTGGGTGATGATGTCTCAAGTCAATTGTTTTTCAGTGGAGTTGTTGGCCAAGGAAATGAATTTCCTGGACATCTTACTGAAGTTTCTCATGACATGATAAAAAAATGTGGTGGCTTGCCACTAGCAATAACTATAACAGCCAGACATTTTAAAAGCCAGCTGTTAGATGGAATGCAGCAATGGAATCACATACAAAAATCATTGACTACTTCCAATTTGAAGAAAAATCCTACTTTGCAGGGGATGAGGCAAGTACTCAACCTTATTTACAATAATCTTCCTCATTGTTTGAAAGCATGTCTGTTATACCTTAGCATCTACAAAGAGGACTACATAATTAGGAAGGCCAACTTGGTGAGGCAATGGATGGCTGAAGGTTTCATCAATTCCATAGAAAATAAAGTCATGGAAGAAGTTGCAGGGAACTATTTTGATGAACTTGTTGGTAGGGGCCTGGTCCAACCAGTAGATGTTAACTGCAAAAATGAGGTATTGTCATGTGTAGTGCACCACATGGTATTAAATTTCATCAGGTGTAAGTCAATAGAGGAGAATTTCAGCATTACATTGGATCATTCTCAGACGACAGTAAGACATGCTGACAAGGTTCGCCGACTCTCGCTTCACTTCAGCAATGCACATGATACAACACCACTAGCAGGTTTGAGACTCTCACAAGTTCGATCGATGGCATTTTTCGGACAAGTCAAGTGTATGCCTTCCATTGCAGATTATAGGCTTCTTCGAGTTCTGATTCTTTGTTTTTGGGCTGATCAAGAGAAAACAAGCTATGACCTCACAAGCATTTCTGAACTGTTACAACTGAGATATCTGAAGATAACAGGTAATATCACAGTTAAACTTCCAGAGAAGATCCAAGGACTACAACACTTGCAGACACTGGAAGCAGATGCAAGAGCAACTGCTGTCCTATTGGATATTGTTCATACACAGTGTTTGTTGCACCTTCGTCTTGTACTACTTGATCTGCTCCCTCACTGTCACAGGTACATCTTCACCAGCATCCCCAAATGGACTGGAAAGCTCAACAATCTCCGCATTTTAAACATTGCAGTCATGCAAATTTCCCAGGATGACCTTGACACTCTCAAAGGACTGGGATCTCTCACTGCTCTTTCGCTGCTTGTTCGAACAGCGCCTGCGCAAAGAATCGTCGCTGCGAATGAGGGGTTCGGGTCTCTCAAGTACTTCATGTTTGTCTGTACAGCACCATGCATGACTTTTGTGGAAGGAGCAATGCCGAGTGTGCAAAGATTAAATCTAAGGTTCAATGCCAACGAGTTCAAGCAGTATGACTCTAAGGAGACAGGGTTGGAACACTTGGTCGCCCTTGCAGAGATCTCTGCAAGAATTGGGGGCACTGATGATGATGAATCAAACAAAACTGAAGTGGAGTCTGCCTTGAGGACTGCAATTCGCAAGCATCCGACGCCGAGCACTCTTATGGTTGATATACAATGGGTGGATTGGATCTTTGGTGCTGAAGGGAGAGACTTGGATGAAGATTTGGCACAACAAGATGATCACGGGTATGGATTTTTCATTCTATTCCCAGGTTACAACTTACAAGGATTATTGAGCTTCTTTCTTTCTCTGCCGTGGCTTCTATCTTTACCTTCTATGCATCTTCAACCTGACTTGATGATTGTTTGAAACCAATTTTAATGGAAGTTAAATGTTATTGTTGTGACCCTGAATCAGGTTTTGTATGCTACCGGAATCCTCTTCACGTCTTCAGAGTAGAGGTAATTTTGTTTCTTGTCATTTTACAGTTACAGTTCATCTACTTAAGGAATTAATGGGAGGTCCTATATTTTCTCGGGTACCTAGAAGGTGTGGTTCCTAGTCTTACCTCCTTAAGAACCGTAGAATGTTGGCCCTAACACTTGGATCAAAGAACGAAAGGTGTATGCACTATAGTATCCTTTATATATTGCACAAGTCAAGACATTTGTTAAAACACACCCAGTGCTAGTAATTTGTTTACTGAGATATGAATTATCGCCAAATACCCATACTGAGCCTATTAGTAAAATATTTACGAGGTGTTTGAGGACAGCATAACTTTCAGTAAAGAATTTACTACGTGAGGTGTGTGTTTTAGGTATTGCGCATCTTGGGTGCATTTTAGCGCAAACGTGTATAATATATATCCCATGGTACTAACTCATGTCTTAACCATAATTGCACACCAACACAAAACATACACTACTACAGAGATAAGTATCGAAGAAGACATGCCCACCGGTGCGGAAGGGACGGTGATTGTGCCCCACACAATGGAGCAGTTCGCCCTCCACATGAGCCAAGCCAAGCAATCCCACAAGCTCGTAGTCATCCAGTTCACTACTTCCCGGTGCCCTGCTTCACGCTACATCGCGCCAGCTTTCACCGAGTATGCGAAGGAGTTCGCTGGTGCGGTTTTCATTAAGGTCAATGTCGACAGCGATGAGCTGGAGAGTGTTACGGACTGGTATGACATCGAAGGGATAGTGCCAACATTTTTCTTCGTCAAGGATGGGGAGAAGATTGACAAGATTCCTGGTGCTAACAAGGAGTTGCTCCGAGCCAAAATTCGAAGGCACACAGCTTCTCCTTACTTCCTCCGTTGATAATGACTTCTTTTATCGTCTTTGTCTAGTATATATATGGCACTTATATAGTTAACTAGGAAGGGCACCTTGTTTAATGTAGCTTTCATTTTTATTATGAATGTTAAGGATGATATTATATTGTTGAAGTATTTTTTTACTCCTTGTAAACATGTATTGGTTAATAACGAAGTAGTTTGGACATTAGTTATGATTTTCTTCTGATTACCCTTGCAACATATAAACTCCATACTAAAATTATTAAAAAAAATGTGTCATAATAATGGAGTTGGTTTATATCTATTTGTACTATGTGTGATTTTTTTAAAATATCTAGCATATCAGTTTCCAAAATTTTACTAACAATTTTTCTTGTATGCTATCAATGACTTTATGGATTTATTATAGTAATGAAAAATATTTTTCATTAAAACGTAGCTAATAGATTACTTTATTTAAGTAAAGGTAGACTTATATTGGTTATACTACCTCCGTCACAGCACGCATCATGAACGATAAATCAAATGAAATTGATGAATATACATGACAATCAAAGAACTAGGCATAGAGGCTGTAGAGGCTAGGTCCTTCTCCTAGCCTCCTCCTGCCATGCATGGCAGCTACTGCGTCCCTCGATTTCCCTGCCATGGCAGCTGTGGTTGTCGATGATTTGGCGGCAATCTGGCGCACGAAGGTCAAGTATGAGCAAAGCGGCAATAAATGAGTCTGTTCGGGAAGCTTCTAGCTGATATAGTTTCTCTCATAATTAAAAGGTCCCCTAAATAATATAGCTTTGATTCTAAAAAACTGTAGTTATTTAATATAGAAAATAAACTAGAAATTAATCAAACGCTGGGAAACTTAGCTTTTTCACATTCTCAGAAATTGACCACCAACCAACTACTTCCCGTAATCTTAAGCACCCTAAACAGACGCGGTGATGACATGCGTCGCTTCTGCTTCTAGCCGCGTAGTCCGCATCCCCAGCAACGAGCAAAGCGGAGCCGAGCCGCGCTTCCACGCGTGGAGATCGTGCATGCGGCTAGCTGTCCGTCTCTTCACGCAATTGGAGCCGTGCAGTCGCACCATAGGATCCCTTCCTCAACCACTTGTCGCTCATCTGGATAAGGGCTGCTCGGGTGAGGTTTGTAGCCAGGTATCCACCAAATTGCCCTACGCATTGTAGCCAATGCAATTAGGGATGGCAATTTGACATGTTTGCCTATTTACCCATGGGTAAAAACCCTAATAGAATTAGGTTTATTCTCCATTTAGTACCCATGGGTTTTTTATTAGGTCAAAACCTGTACCCAACGGGCATACGGTGTCACGCCTAGAAATTCCCGAATAGAATTTCAAGCAGAATGTGCATTAAATTCCCCGTCCAGGACCAGCCGGGGTACACAAACGACAATGTTGACATTCAGATCCATGTCTTACAAACATCATAAAAGTCTTACATAAATGCAACGGAAGAAAAGAAAGACAACAGGAGCTAAGCCTTGACTAAACTGCAGCGGGAACACCACTCCACAGGCATCCTCGACGGCACGCACGAAGCCTACTCCTCAGAGAAACCTTCATCTGACCCGAACTCGAACTCTGGGGTTGGGAAAAGTAGAGCAAGACTGAGTACTACCCACTGTACTCAGCAAGTCATACCGGAATAGGGGTATGATGCAGGGAATTATCAAAGAAGAGCTAGAGCAGTTCATTTGCATAAAGCGAGCATTTATAAACAGAAGTTGAAAGATTAAACCGTTGTAATAATTAATTAATATCAACTATCCACTGCCCAACGCTAACCCACGTTGCGACAGGCCCAACCATCCACCTAAACTATCCAATTTCAAAAGATTACACTAGGGTGAGACTAATCACGGTGAATCTGGTTGACCGCCCATAACCGCGGGCACGGCTATTCGAATAGTTTTACTCTGATCAGAGGTGTACAACTGTACCCACAAGACACAGCCCCACGATACGTTTCCGTACGCCGACATGCCACCACGACATATCGGAAAGAGGCCGTGACAGGACCCTTCGCATAACCCCCTCTAGCCAAGCACACCACACCTCAGGTTTCACCCCCGTCCCCAGCGGGCAACGGGCAGTCCCCTCTCGTGCCTAGGTGAATCCGGAAACGACAGAGGCCGTCGCAGGGCCCGCCCCGCTCCATCACGCCCACCCTTGCCTGGATGCGTCGACTAGATGAGAGCTACACTACAAGCCCAGCCGTTGCCCACGCTGGCTTGTGGTAAGTACGATAAGTTCTTTCAGGGCATCCCGCGAACCGGTCCTTAACTGCCATGGGTGCGACCAGCAAAACCATGCACCCACAGCCCACCATGTGATTTATTTTAATTAACCAACACCAAAGCGGTGGCACTAATCCAACAAAACCATTAGAACCAACAGTCTAAACATTAATAGGATTTTCCCCATTGTGAACTAGTTGAACTAAGCATGGCTAAGCAATTCCTAGTCCAAACTCTAATCATGTTGTAACCCCAAGCTAACAAAGGAGCATGGTATCCAAAAAGCATAGCTGTAACAATAGGTAACCATCCCATAGTAATATTATAAAACAATGCAATATTTGAAAGAAAACAATAGAGCATTTGCAATATAGGATCAACATGTTCAAGTGACAAGCATGACTTGCCTTGCTCTGCTGCTGGAGGAACCTCAGCGACTATTTCGAAGTACACCGGAGCGTCGGAGGAGTCGGAATCTAGCGACATACAAAGCAAACAATGCAAACAGGCTATAAGACTACTGAAACAGGGAACAAAACCATTTTTAATGGATTCTACACATTATTCTTGATTTACTGAGACTTGAATGGGCTTAAACGGAGCTCGGATGAATTAGTTATGAATTTTAGAAGATTCACTGTGTTTATTACTATAACAAAAATTCTTAAATAATTTATTGCGCAATATTTTCCAGGGCTGACGTCAGCACGGGGAAGCGGCGCCGACATGCGGGGCCCACCAGTCAGCGGCTCGGGAGAGAGAGGAAGGGCGCCGGCACGCGGGGCCCACTGGTCAGCGACGGGGGGGGGGGGGGGGAAGAAAAGGGGCGGCGGCACCCGGCTCGGCTTGGCTCAAGGCCGGCCGACCGGCCGCGGCGACGGCGCGCGCGCGAACGCGTTGCCGGCGGCGCATCCGGCGGCGGGGCGACGGCGCAAAACGACGCGGAAACGGCGGCAACGGATGGCGGCAGCGACCGAAGGCGACGGCGAGCGCGGGCGACGGCGACGCACGGGGGATCGGGGGAAGGAAAGGAAAGGGGTGGGAGTCCTCACCGAAGGGGACGGCGGCGACCGGCGACGACGAGCCACGGGAGGACGACGTCGGCGGGCGGACGAGCTCCGAGATGCCCTAAGAAAGGAAAAGAGAGAGATTAGAGGGAGAGGGGTGGTCCACGGCGGGCGGAAACCATGGCCGAAGGCGGCGGTAGAGATGGTGCTCACCAGAGTGCGAGGGGGTGAGGGCTCCGGCGACGAACCTCGACGGAGGAGGGGTGAACGGGGTGGACCTCGGCTGCGCGAACCCAACGGCGGCGACGGCGCGGTGCGGCGGCTAGAGGCGGCCGGAGTAGCGGGAGAGGCGGCGGCGGATGGGCGCACGGCGCGGGAGCAATGGAGGGCACGGGAGAGAGCGGTGGAAAAAGAAAAAAGGTGGAGGGGAGTGCGGGCATGCTTTATAGGGGCTCGGGAGAGACGGATGTGGCCGAGGCGCTCCCGATTTCGTCGGCGACGTGGGAGGTTGAAGGTGGGGGAGAGAGAGAGAGAGAGAGCGGCGGGATTCAAATTTGAATCCCGGCCATCTCGGTTGAGGGCGCGGCGAGAGAGAGAGGGGGAGTGGGTGCGGGAGGCGCGGCGCACGCACGGGCGTGGCCGATGTGGACCGGAGGAGGCGGGGTGCGGCGGATGGGCGACGTGGGCGAGTGGCCGGAGGTTGGGGAAGGGCCCGACAGGTGGGCCCCACCTGTCGGCGACCCCGGGGAGAGGAGGGAGGCGGCCGGCCTGGCTGGGCCTCGGCCTGCGGCCGGCCCAGCAGGGAGGAGGGGGAGGAAGGAGAGAATGGGCCGGCGGCCCATTCGAAAAAAGGAGGAAAAAAAAAGGGAGGAAAAAGAAAAAGAAGAAGGAAAAAGGATTTTCCCTGGAATTAAAATATTGCTTGCTCAATTTTAATTGGTTAAAATTATTTCTAGAGCTCTGAAAATTCCACTAAAAATCCTGTTAATGAATTTCGACATGTAGAACTCAAGAAAAATTCCACATGTCAAATCCGATTATTATTTGCATTACTTTCTTAGGGTTTTCTCTTGATTTGCACCTGCATTTTCTTGGGGGGTCGTTTATAAATTAAATTTTAGGCCTGGGAGGAGAACTTCGGGGTGTGACAAACCTACCCCCCTTAAACGGAATCTCGGCCCCGAGATTCGGAGGAGCTGGTGAAGAGGTGCGGATGGGCGGCTTTCAACTCATCCTCCCTTTCCCAGGTTGCTTCCTCTTCTGAATGATGACTCCACTGAACTCGGCAAAACCTGTTGACCTTGTTTCTGGTTCTTCTTTCGCTGGTATCAAGTATACGAATCGGCTTCTCCACGTATGTTAGGTCCTCCTGGATATCAATGTGTTTCGAATCAGCCTGTTCTTCAGGTACCCTTAAGCACTTCTTTAATTGGGACACGTGGAACACGTCATGGATACCGATCATATTGGATGGAAGTTCTAACTGATAAGCAACTTCTCCCCTTCGTTCCAAGATTTTGTATGGTCCCACGAAGCGTGGTGCCAACTTGCCTTTCGTCTGAAAACGGTGTACTCCCCGGAGCGGAGTGACACGAAGATACACGTAATCTCCTGCCTCAAAAGTGAGCTCCCTTCGGCGGTTATCCGCGTAGCTCTTCTGTCGAGACTGGGCAATCCTCAACCTTTCCCTGATGATTCTGACTTTCTCTTCTGCTTCCGCTAATACCTCTGTCCCGAACAGTTGACGCTCGCCTGTCTGATCCCAGAAGAGAGGTGTGCGGCACTTCCGGCCGTATAAAGCTTCAAACGGTGCCATCTGTAGACTGGCCTGGTAGCTGTTGTTGTACGAGAATTCCGCATATGGCAAGCTTTTGTCCCAAGCTCCACCAAAATCGAGAGCGCAAGCTCTCAACATATCTTCCAAGATTTGATTGACTCGCTCGGTCTGACCATCAGTTTGCGGGTGATAGGCCGTGCTGAAATTTAAACGGGTCCCCAATTCTTCC